AAGATTAAAAGAAAATTTCTCTATATCACATTATATATAAGATAATTTGACTTTATTCATTTATTTATTTATTTATTTATTTATTTGGATACCAGGGATCAAACTCAGGACCTTGTGCTTTCGAGGCAGACATGGTACCACCGAGCTAAATCTCCGGCCCCAATTTGACTTATTTTATGTATCAAAATTATTATATGTTTTTTTCATTTGGGGAGAGATTATGGCTATCACAAAGAACATTATTTTGCAAGAGCTTCATTTCCTTCTTTCCCTGTTTATCCTGCAGGGAAACCTAGAAAAGATGTGCCGTACTCTTGAGGACCAACTGAGTGAACTCAAATCAAAGGAAGAAGAGCAGCAGCGGCTGATCAATGACTTGACAACCCAGAGGGGACGCTTGCAGACCGAATCGGGTAATTGTTCCCTCTTCTATGGTGCTCCAGTGGGCAATGATGTGGTTAAGAACAAGTGATTTGATGATGTGACAGCCTAAGAAAAGCAGCTGAGCTCGTGTGTACTTTACTGAGAGGCTCAGACTCTCAATCCACATTCGAGGTCATTGGGGGACACCACTGGAGGAGATAAAAGATTCCAGTATGACCAGCTCAAGATTTGTTACAGAAAGGCCCTAAATGTTGTTCACAGAAGGGATGCTGAAATTAGAAATCACTCTAACACAGGCACAGAGCTTCTGTTTCAGGCCATATTTTGCTGTTATTGTTGTTGTTTTGTAGTACTAGGGATTGCACCTAGGGCCCCATGCGTGTTTGTCAAGTGTTCTACCATTGAGCTATATCCTCAGTCCTAGTTTTGTTTTGTTTTGTTTTCTTAAAATTTATGTCAGCATGAATAAATTCCTAAATGGGAGAATGGCTACCCAAGTCTATCAAAAGTCTGTGGTGGGCCAGGGATTCAGCTCAGTGGTGCCACCACCTGCCTCACAAGTGCAAGGTCCCAAGTTCAATTCCTGGTACCAAAAAGAAAGGTCTGTGGAACCTGAACTATGGTAGAATTGGGCATTTTAGCTACCTTTTTGACTGCCATCAGGTTTTTTTTTTCCACCGTATCATATAAGCCTAAAAGAATTAAGTAAGCAGAAGACAAAAGAATTTTAAGCTGTATTTGCTCATTTGTATTGTTGTATAAATGGCACTAAAATCCCCCAGAAATTTGGGCTTGAGCATGAATATGTTAACAGAGATTTCAGTCATCTGAGCACTCAATTTGGGGGCTAAGAGTTAAATCTATTTCTAACATGAGTTTGCTGAATTTTTCTTCACTTACAATAGTGCCATTTCTTTGGTCTGTCAGGTGAATTTTCACGCCAGCTTGATGAAAAAGAAGCTCTGGTGTCTCAGTTATCAAGAGGCAAACAAGCATTTACACAACAGATTGAGGAATTAAAGAGGCAACTCGAAGAGGAAGTTAAGGTAACTACTGTATTATTAAAAGACTGATTTTTTTTTTTGGTCCTGTGAGTTGGCCCTAAACAGAGCCAGTTACATCAACTTTTAAAGAGTTCTGAAACTTAAGAATATCTAAATAACCAGTAAAATAAAGTGTAACTATCTTCACAGGCCAAGAACGCCCTGGCCCACGCGCTGCAGTCCTCCCGCCACGACTGTGACCTGCTTCGGGAGCAGTACGAGGAGGAGCAGGAATCCAAGGCTGAACTGCAGAGGGCGCTGTCCAAGGCCAACAGTGAGGTTGCCCAGTGGAGGACCAAATATGAGACGGACGCCATCCAGCGCACCGAGGAGCTGGAGGAGGCCAAGTATGTGCGCAGACATGAGAGAATGAGCAGAAAATTGTGGTGAATTAACTCACCCACATTCATTTATTAGTTTCTCTTTACCAGTTACTATCAGGCCCTAGAATAATTCTTAAATGAAGCAAACATGGTCCTTAGCCTAAACATTAAAGAAACAAAGAATAACAAATAATTACCCCGAAAATTAGAGTTTACTGCTAAATGTCAATTGCGCCAAGCTTGTTGCTGCTCCAGGGTTCTACACGTGCTGATTGTTCTGTCTGGAATATTCTCCTTGCTTGTCTCCCTCTAGTTTACTCTGACTTCTTTCAGGTCTTGACTTAATTGTTACTTCTCAAAGAGGCTTTCCCTGATTGCTGGACTAGTTGGCCACCATTTACCCTATTTTATTTCTCTTCACTGCACTTACATCTGCAAGGTGTTAGTACATGTTTTCTGGCTTGCTTAATTTTTATCCTTTTCACTGTTTGTAAGCTTCTTGGATCAGGAACATTGTTTTGTTTTATTCAATGCTGTGCACTCAGCATCTGGCTCATAAAAGGAGCTCATTGGTAGTTGTTGAATAGGTAAATGAATGAATGATAGCATTAATATGAAGTCTCCAATACTCTTCAGTATGGTAATAGTTCATAACTATAATGGTTACTTCTACCTAAAAACATATGTAATCTTCAAGGAAGAAGCTGGCCCAGAGGTTACAGGCTGCTGAGGAGCATGTAGAAGCTGTGAATGCCAAATGTGCTTCCCTGGAGAAGACGAAGCAGAGGCTGCAGAATGAGGTGGAGGACCTCATGCTGGATGTGGAGAGAACCAACGCTGCCTGTGCAGCCCTGGACAAGAAGCAAAGGAACTTCGATAAGGTGATTCCTGCAGCATCCTCTGTCCTCCACAACTTCCTTCTGTCATTTACAGAAGGTAACTGCTGTTGGTTTTTCAGGTCTTGGCAGAATGGAAGCAGAAATATGAGGAAACGCATGCTGAACTAGAGGCATCCCAGAAGGAGGCCCGCTCTCTGGGCACTGAACTGTTCAAGATGAAGAATGCCTATGAGGAATCCTTGGATCAGCTAGAGACCCTGAAGAGAGAAAACAAAAACTTGCAGCGTGAGTCCTTTTCACTTTCAATAACATTCCCAACTTGGAACAATCCTCCCCTACCATCTCTCTCATGTTATCTGTTTGACCAAACCCTTACTTGCCTTATACCCAAACAATAGAGGAGATTTCTGACCTCACGGAGCAGATTGCAGAAGGAGGGAAACGTATCCATGAACTAGAGAAAATAAAGAAACAAGTGGAACAAGAAAAGTGTGAACTTCAGGCTGCCTTAGAAGAAGCAGAGGTATACGTCAATTTATGCATAAACCAACCCATTCGAAAGGAATTAAGACAGTCTGCATAGATTGACTAAAAAGATATACAGCACAAACTTATTGGTGTGCAGAAATAGTTCAGGATGCTTCTTGCTAATATCATCTCTTGCTGTTATTTAGGCATCTCTCGAACATGAAGAAGGAAAGATCCTGCGCATCCAGCTTGAGTTGAACCAAGTCAAGTCTGAAATCGACAGGAAAATTGCTGAGAAGGATGAAGAAATTGACCAACTGAAGAGAAACCACATTAGAATTGTAGAGTCCATGCAGAGCACACTGGATGCTGAGATCAGGAGCAGGAATGATGCCATCAGGCTCAAGAAGAAGATGGAGGGAGACCTCAATGAAATGGAAATCCAGCTGAACCACGCCAACCGCATGGCAGCCGAGGCCCTGAGGAACTACAGGAACACCCAAGGCATCCTCAAGGTAAATGACTCCAAGGGATGGTTCTAGGACAGTTGGGGTGACTGCAGCCCAGAGAATGTGATGTCTCAACGACTGTTCACTCTACAGGACACCCAGCTGCACCTGGATGACGCTCTCCGGGGCCAGGAGGACCTGAAGGAGCAGCTGGCCATGGTTGAGCGCAGAGCCAACCTGCTGCAGGCTGAGATTGAGGAGCTTCGGGCCACACTGGAGCAGACAGAGAGGAGCAGGAAAATCGCAGAGCAGGAGCTCCTGGATGCCAGTGAGCGTGTCCAGCTCCTCCACACTCAGGTGAGATTCCACACAAAGAAGTTCCCTGCAGTAAATGTTTGTATGTCTCAAAATATATAAGCCTGAATTTTTATATGACAGCCATGTTTCATATTTCTGCCAAATTTTCACTGTATCAAAGAGAAATTTTTCATTGTCTTAAACAATTATTATTGATTCACCTCCTATAATAGTCTAAGGCAATTTCCTATTCTAGTGTGTTAATAGCTTTATTGATCTTTGTATCAATATTGACATTTTTGTTGAGGAAAAATGGAATGTTTTGAACATCTTTTACAATTTTATCCCTGTGAATGATCTCATTGGTAAATGGTTATTTAAAAATTACAGAGCTATATAGTCTACTTATGAACTCTGCTTGCAAAAATGCTGAATATTCTATGGCCTTTCTATTTTTTTTTAATTGTACTACATAATTAAATTCTGTAATATTAGTACCTTTTTGTTTTTTTGGTACCGGGGATTGAACTCAGGGCCTTGTGCTTATGAAGCAGGCAGCAGAACCACTGAGCTTAACCCTCAGCCCTTAAATTCTTTAATATTGATGAGCATTTCATTTACTTCCAAAGTTTTACCTGATGATTACCACTAAGTCCTTTGGTAACATGATAAAAAAATGTACTACTTATTTTCAAACAGAACACAAGCCTAATCAACACCAAGAAGAAGCTAGAGACAGACATTTCCCAAATTCAGGGGGAGATGGAGGACATCGTCCAGGAAGCCCGAAATGCAGAAGAGAAGGCCAAGAAGGCCATCACTGACGTAAGTAGCAGGCACACTTCTCCATTGATGTAACAGTGAGAATTCCCGACAGCAATAGCTTTCTTGATTTATTTGCTAAATAGGCTGCCATGATGGCTGAGGAGCTAAAGAAGGAGCAGGACACCAGTGCCCACTTGGAGCGAATGAAGAAAAACATGGAACAGACAGTGAAAGACCTGCAGCTTCGTTTGGATGAGGCCGAGCAGTTGGCACTGAAGGGCGGCAAGAAGCAGATCCAGAAACTGGAAGCCAGGGTGGGTGTCCCAATATCTATGTATTACCATCTGCTTCCAATGCCTGATTGGATCAAAGCTCTTAAGAACCTACCTATCTGCAGGTGCGTGAGCTGGAAGGAGAGGTGGAGAGTGAGCAAAAGCGTAATGTTGAGGCTGTCAAAGGTCTGCGCAAACATGAGAGGCGAGTGAAGGAGCTCACATACCAGGTATAGCAGTAGTTTTTAATCAGCTAAGAACTTTTCCAAATATATGTGAAATACTTACTACAATGATGTAATAGTCATGTGCTTCAGAAGTGAGACCCTACGGTTCTTATAATCTTTCAGACGGAAGAAGATCGGAAAAATATTCTCAGGCTTCAGGATCTGGTAGATAAACTTCAGGCAAAAGTGAAATCTTACAAGAGACAAGCTGAGGAGGCTGTAAGTATCCTTAAGACAGAAGGGAAGAGTGAAGTCCCTGAATTAAGAAAAGCTAATAAGTAATTAGATTCACCACCCTTTTCTATAAGTAAACTGCCTTATATAAGATTAAAACTTCTGTATATTTTTGTACTTATTGCTTATCACTTATAATATCTATAATTTGAGTTTAAAAGTAAGCTTTCAGTCCACAAGAAACCTCAAAATAAAAAAAGCAAAAATAATACAGGTCATATTCTCTGAGACAGTGTGATAAAATTATAAAGTGATGAGAAAATATTTTTAAAACAAACTTTCCTAAATAATTCTTGGGCTATATGAGCAAGAAAAATCATAATTATTGACTAATAAATTAATTATAAATAAAATTACAAGGAAAATGCTACATTTAGAAACCTATAGAATTTAGTCAAACTGTGCTGAGAGGCTAATAGATTGCTTTATATGTTTTCATTTTGAATGAAAAATAAAAATAAATGCACAAACCACAGTACATTACAGAAATTATGAATAAAAAGTAAAACAATGGAAGAAACACTGTTAAAAGTAGGAATTTATTAATTAGAGTATACTATTTTCTAATTTGATCATTTCAATAATACCTGATAACTTCGGGGGATTTAATAAAACTAACAAACATCACTAGTTTAATCAAGAAAAAAAATGAAAGAAAATACAAACTTTCCATATGAGAAATGAGAAAGAGAATAAGCCATAAACATAGAGGATTGTTTTTTTAATGTAATACATTAACCTATCCAAAAAGTTGAAATCCAAAAGAAACTGATTTTTCTAAGGAAATAAAAATTAACAAATTGTCTGAATAATATATTTAAGAATTAGCTCTGAAAATAGAACCAGGTCCAGACAGGTCTTTCAAAATTTCAAGGAACAGATAATCCCCCAGGTATGTAGGCTGTTCAAGAGCATGGGAAAAGATGGAAAGCTTTCCAGTTCATGTTAAGAAGCTCACATAACCCACATACCAGAACCTGTCCAAGAGAGAACAGGGGGAAGAAAAGAAGGGCAGCTTCACCATGGGGAGGTGAAAGTTACAGGACAGTTGCAGCATGGGTAAATTGCTAAGGAGTAAAACCCTTCCTTTAGAAAGGCATTGTCTATCAGTAATTAAATAAGCTTAATTCTTCCAATGTTAGAATTACTCTTTACTAGGGAACGTGTCTCTATAATTGTTACATACAAAGCTGGAGGGGAAATATAATGGTTTTGTGCCAAAAAATATATATATAATGAAATCCAACATTTATTTTAATTTTTAAAAACCATTATTAAATTCATCCTTAATTTGATAAAATATTTGTTATCTAACAACAACCTTGACTTTAATATTTTTAACCTTCTCTTCCTATTATATATGTACACTTTTCTTGCTGTACATATGCTTGTGATACATATCCTTTAATAGGATTTGGTAGCAAAAACAGGGATGAGATTATTGATGAGACACCAAGACCCAAACCATGAAATTAATTTCAAATGATAAGTAAAATCTAGGTGTTGGTACGATTGTGCTTATTTGTAGATGCCCAGTCCTGTCTTCCCTTATGTCTACAGAGACTAGGAAGATGCACAGTGAGGTTTCTTACAATTCCACTTTTCCCCTTCAGGAGGAACAATCCAACACAAATCTATCCAAATTCCGCAAGCTCCAGCATGAACTGGAGGAAGCTGAGGAAAGGGCTGACATTGCTGAGTCCCAGGTCAACAAACTACGTGTGAAGAGCCGGGAGGTTCACACGAAAGTCATAAGTGAAGAGTGATCAAGCCCTGATGCTGTGGAATGACTGGAGAAAGGCACAAAATGTGAAGTCTTTGGTCATTTCCCTTTGTAATTTTGTCTATTCTACCCTATTGCAAAGGAAATAAAAAGCAGAGGGTACTTTGCAAATAAGATCCCTGGGCTCGTCTTTCTTTTCTCTCTCCTCATGCGCTGTCGAAGTTTGAATAATCTGAAAGCTGCTGAACAATCACATTCACCTTACCATTGAGAAGTATTTATGTATCCATGATTATTTTAGGTCTATTTCAATACTTTAACTATAAAGGTGTCACCTAGAAAGCCTATTTCTGATAAATAGAAGTCTGGCAGCTATTTTTCTTTCTAACCTTTCTTGATTGCTGGGAATAGTAAAATCCTAGAAAGCTCCTGCTTCCCCTAACATGAACCTAATTTTCTAGGTCTACACAAAGGATGGCATTAGCTGTATTTTCACATAAGGGATTCAGACTGAACTGCATCATGACTTCTTGCTTACTGTTACAAAGAACACAAGTATAAAGCACTCTTAATTGGCCATGGATATTTTCAACATCAAGACCAGCAAACCATACAGATATCCACAGTATCCACGTTGGCTAATGGGTTTGACAGAGATGTGGCCCTGCTCCCTGTGAGAGCTACACATTGGCTATCAGGTCTGGAAACATAGAGAATATTATTTTATATATTATAATCGGTATCAATGAGCTATAAGGCTATGTTTCCAGACTTCATGAAAAGTCTTATGTGACCTATGTAGTCACATAAGAGGTCAAAATAATACTAAAAGCACCAGTAAAATATGAATCTCAAAGTAGATTACTTAAATGTATACACACATGATCATGAGTACAAGTTTGGTACAAAAAGAAATAGCAGCTATCCAGATTACTCAGTAGTTTTCCTAGAGGATTAAGATTTTAAAACTGGATACAGCAGAGATACACAGCCAAGAATATAATCTTCCTTGACAGCATCATGGAAAACCTAAACGCTAACTTGCCATCTGAAGAGAAAGCAAGAATATCCTGACTTAAATGGCACCAGGTGAGAATGATTTAAATAAGACATGTGGAGGCAATTTCACAGGTAAATTGGATTCACACCATCATGCCAGCCTTAGGAAGAGCGTAGAATTGCTTTTCTCACTGTTTTGGCTCCTCTTTCACTTTGTTCCCACACCACCCATTAATCCTGAAGTGCCTTGTAACTTGACAGTAATGACAAAAACAAAGTATTACTTTCTACCTGCTGAAAAGCTTGTCCAGAGAAGGACAAAAGGCTGCTTTCAAATTCTCATCAAATTCTGATAAGAGCATCATTAAAATGTTCTTTCTTCCTGAGAATCATTACTCACATTTTACAGATGCCTAATAAAGAAACAGACATTTAAGAAAGCAAAATGATGTACCTGTGATAACAAAATGCACTAAGAGCTGGCTAGTAAAGCCCCTCTTGGATGCACATCCCCTGCAAGACCCCTCTTAACAGCTTTAATCAACTCCAAGTAGAAGAGAGTCACCAGCAAGCATACTGGATGGTGAGTCAGATGACTGGGACCTAGACTGCTGTGTGATCTGTGGAGAGTCTTCTATTCTTTGGATCTGAATTTCTTTATTTGTGGGATGAGAAATACAAATTTGATAGTCTCTACAGTAATGAAATCATATGACCATTACAACCAGTACCCCCAGATACTGCTTTCACTAGGCAAACTATTTCTGCTATAGTGATTGAAATTTCAGTAAAATAATACAGAAATGGGGCAAAACAGGGTAGACTGGGTCCCAGTCCTGCCCAGATAATGCTGACAGAGATACCACGCCACAGAGACAATAAAACAAATATGGTTTAAAATTAAAAGTCAGAATAGAAAACAATGTTCAAGTATTATTTTCAAGCAAAATGTTAAATGTATATCATGGGTAGCTAATGGAAGAAAAGTCATACATGCTAATATTTACAGAGAGAAATGTCCTGCTTTTGATATTTTCTTATGTTCAGTATTGTAGAAAAAACCAGAATGTCTTAAACAACTTGCAGTTTTTTTAAGAGAGAGAAAGAGGACATCTCTGCTCAGCAAGGCAATGCAATTTTGGAACCAGTCTGAAGTGGGAATGGGAAGACTTGACAATGAATCAGAGGAAACAGCGGATGAAATGACTGGTGGAAGAAACAAAAGACACTATCTTTGGCAGCTCTTCAGGAAGCAAGTTTTAAAATTAAGTTTTGAAGCACCTTTGAAAAAGTACAGTAAATTGCAGGGAAAAAAAATCATGTCATCTTGGGAGGAACCAACAATCTTTTTTATAATACTCAGCCGAGTAGCAGAAACTTTCTCCCTAGTATAATACGGCAATTGTGCAGGCACTTGAGAAGACTTCACACAGGCAACTGGGTGAAACAGAAGAGCAGGAGGCAACAAAGTGCAGGCATTTCAGAGCTGTAGCTGTCTTTGACACAACACCTTACATTATTCCAAGGGTGGATCACTTTTAGATTGCCGACAACTCAAATTATTTATAGGAGATTGATTCATATACTTAACCCAATGGGAGAGGGAATATTTCTAATTATATCCAAACATCTTTAATATGAAGGGAATTAGGCTTGGAGATCTTCTTTGCCAAAAACATGTTTTGCCAAATATGTTTTCAGAAGGAGGAGGAGGCTACATGTTTTCCATATTTGATCCTATAAAAGTACCCTTGGAATGAGTATGACTTGTCTTTCCTCATAAAGCTTCAAGGTAAGAGTGTGTGAGGACAGCGCCCTGTCTTGAGCACACAAAGTGATGCCTGGCTCCTTGCATGCATGCCACACATCCTGGCTCCCACTGTCCTGGCAGCCCTGCCAGTGAAGCACAACCTTCCCTGCAGCTATTTCAATTAGATGTGGTCTTCCCAGTCATTTCCTCGTCCTCAGTTAAGGGCTGTGCCATTGTTGGGAATAAACTAGAATTTAATCAGAAGAAATTTGCTCTTTTTCTTACAGTTCTGACCCACTTCAAGGTTGCATCTCTACAGGTAAGACTCTGATTATATTTATCCTTCATCACAGAGAGCAAGGAATCTTCAGTCAGTGGTTTGGGAAGAGGCTGAGATTTTTTTTTAAAAAAAGCATTTAAATTTCAAGGCTAATTATGCTTCTCTTGAACAACTCTGAGGGAAATTTTAGAAACTGGGTCTCATTAACTCACATCTTTTGCAATATATGAAAACCCTTTCTCAGAGTCTGTAGGAGTTTTATGTACATTTTTTCTATTTCTGGCATTGTACTTTGTCTTTTAAATAATTACATTACAACATGTGATGTAACACCTCAGAAGTTTATTCATTTATAGGGAAAATGTAAATTTTCCATGGTATAGCTTTTACTCAGCACTAATGTAAAGAGTTTAAGGTGATATCTAAATGGATAAATACAATGATCTGAATTCTCACCTTTAAAAAGTTGCCTAAATCTGCATGGTGTTTTATAATCTGCAAAATGGAACATTTTAAAAAATGGTATGAAAAATGCTTTCAGCAAGAAAAATCACTTTAACTGGAGTCACTGAAGTTTGAATGGAAAAATGTGAAAAAGTTTACTCAAGTGTACTTTCCTGGAAAAGTACCTTTGTCACTATAAAGTAGATTATGTATGAGGGTTAGTGACAGAATTCATGAATGCAAGTTAAAGTGGCAAGACATGGATTTGAAAGGCTAAAGTTTTCTGCAGTCTTGATGAGTATATTAGTAATAGAGAGAAAATATAGTTAATAAACATATAATAAATCTTTGCAAAATACCAAAGACAAATGAAAAAGATAAGTTTGTCAAAATTATGATAGAGGAACAAGATAAACTGATGTATACTAAAACATTTTTAACAAAACAATGCAAAACAAAGCTCTTTACATTTTAACTTTAACATTATCCAGTCTTTGTAACTCTCAAGTTTATAATGAAAAAATTTTTACCATGTACAAAACAACTCCTAAAATTTCAGCCGCATATTCTGATTGTTCTTTTACATTACGAAGCTGGCTCTGAGCCTTTCTCTGTATCCAGCATGTATTCTTAGAGGTCCAAAGGATGCCTAAGGGAAGAGTGCTCCCTGACTACAAGGTGCTTATAATCTAACAGGGGAGATAAAATCTATTAGGGAAAGAGCCAGAGAACATCCTGCCATCATCTTAGCTTTTGCCCTTTATAAATAATGAGAGCTAGCTTATAAAGATATATACATATATATTTCAAATAAAACACAGAAAGCAGCTACAGTATCACAGTAGGTGATCCAGAAATAACTGTCTCTTCCCAAATGCATGATTAACTACCTATCATCACTGGCATAGAATGAGCAGACTGACATTTCATCAGCAACAAAGCCAGGGAGGTGGTGATACCCAACGCAATGATAAGCATCCAACTGGTCAATGAATCTTTTAAAAACTTTTAAAATGTGATTTTAATGGTCCAGTTTTTAAATTTCTATTATTTCTTTTCTTCTTCTGCCAGGCAAGGTCCTTCACTGGGCTGCCATCAATAACCTGCAGCCATGAGTTCTGACTCTGAGATGGCCGTTTTTGGGGAGGCTGCTCCTTTCCTCCGGAAGTCTGAAAAGGAGCGCATCGAGGCCCAGAACAAGCCTTTTGATGCCAAGACATCTGTCTTTGTGGTGGATGCAAAAGAGTCCTTTGTGAAAGCAACAGTGCAGAGCAGGGAAGGGGGAAAGGTGACGGCCAAGACTGAAGGCGGAGCTGTGAGTAAAGCATCTGCAGCTGATTAGATCGTGCCACACTTTGAGTTTATTTAGCTGACATTTATATGCTGAGCTGATCTCTCTTGTTTTACTTAACAGACTGTAACAGTGAAAGATGACCAAGTCTACCCCATGAACCCTCCCAAATATGACAAGATCGAGGACATGGCCATGATGACTCACCTGCATGAGCCTGCGGTGCTGTACAACCTCAAAGAGCGTTACGCAGCCTGGATGATCTATGTGAGTTTTTTTTCCCCATGACCCTCTACTCATGCAGGTAGTTAATATTATGTTTAAAATACTGGGTGGTTAAGTTCTCCATCAAATAATTGTATTTTTTAATTAATTAATATCGGTGCAGACCTACTCAGGCCTCTTCTGTGTC